GACGGACGGACGGACAGACAGTCACCGCTTAATCGATTTCTCTTTTCATTCTGATCATTTATGTATACATTTGTCTATATCTATCTCGATTCGTTTTGCCTGTTACAAACAACCGTTATGTGAACAAAGTTATAATACCCTTGTGCACAAGTGCGCTCGGGTATAAAAAAATCTCCTACGCGAGGACTCGATCTCGGATCTTTCAAGTGACACTCTAGCGCTCTGATCACTCGTCCATTTCGACTGTTGGACCTGCGCGAGCAAAATGGCATACATACATGCTATCAGTTCACTGTCTCTGTTTTCACCACACAATTTTGGTGAAATTTTTTTTTACTCTCTGGCTGTGTTTCATGGTATACTCGCTTTATACCACGTTCATTTTCGTAATATAGGAATCAGCTTCAAACCACTTTGTACGATGGTATAAATGTGGTTTACAACGACAGACATGTAGTATAGAATGCTAGTATAATATTTAAACCATATGTCTGTCAGGGCTATTACTGGCTAACCAGAATGGTAAGGCTATGGTACAATACGTAGCTGTGGATGTGGTGTATTATTGCTGATGTAGTTAGCGAAATAGTTTGTGACTGTGATACTACATTCTGGTTAGCCAGTAAAAAGTAAATGTTAAAAATGGGAATAAGATGTCCAACTCAAAATATTGCATAACGCAATCTTCAGCTGTGTTTTTCAGCAGCACAATATTATCTATCAACAGGAAAATAATACTCTCTATGGGTATCTTTTAAGCTAAGAGACCCCATTATCGGCACAATGGACCGATTTTCGGCGCGCTTCATATGCCGATAGTGTGAACAAACAAAATTTTTCGAAATGCGGCAATCTGAGCCGAAATTGTGCTGACTATAAGCAATTAATATTGCTGTACCCATAATGTGAACACTCTTTTGCTCATTGTAGAACAATCAAAATGGTAAACATGCGGCGAATTTTATCGGGTGCTCATGCCGCGATCAAAGTCGACAATTTGTTTATTGTTATTATTAATCAAGCACGATAATGTGATTATGTTGTACCGATTATCGTCGCATAATTAATTTGGCCGATATGCACCGAAAAAGATTGTGGCAATATGCGCTGATAATGGGACCACTCAAAAAGTAGTTGTACATACAATTTGTTTAAATATGTTACCAATCAAGCACGATGAAAATCGGTACATATTGTGCTATTTGCGCCGTTAATGGGATCCCAGCTTTAGAATGTCTAGTGATTTCTTTCCATTTGTACCCACTGTTTTTTTCAGTTTCCAATTCTTTCGCTTTTTCATAATTAAACTTTTCTATATCGGATCATGGAAGTACAAATGCATGTATACCTTTCAGTACTCGCCAATAAAAATTGTTTCGTTCTTGAAAAGCTAAACTCTTCTGATTCAAACAATACAAATGTAGCAGGTGCTAGTGCCGTTACAGACGCATCCGTTTAGATTTACCTGGCAGGCGTTTTACCGCCGCGAAATGTATGTAACAGGGCACCGGCTTGTGAGAAAACTCTAATAGCTGGTCCTGATTTGTATGACAGTATTCGTAAATTGATTTAAAAACTTACCACTCATCAACTAATATCGATACCCTTGGCCCATATAGACGGTTGGAATGTAGTAAGCCAGTCGTATCGAAATGAGGCGGTTCGCAAATCTGTAAAAAAATACATAATGATGTCACTTGCAATACGAAAATAAATTTCATTGTACTTACCGTAAAATTGCTTAAAATGCGGGTCTGCACTGTGTTATTTAATTGCCTTAAAATATTTTCTATCCTCACGCGAACGTGTTTGCTCAGTTTTGGTGTAAGTTTAGTAATCCTAGGAAGCAAAAAAGTAATAGAGAGTGTGCAAAAAGTATGCAGTTGTGTTTTGATTCAAAGGCAAAGTTAGTAAAAATAATTATTTTAAATTTCTTTTTTTTTTTTGTCAAAATAAAGTTTCCAAGCCAATTTGGTAAGCCAATGCATTTTTATTTAAATCGTTAATTTCTGTTCAACGAAACGTAATGAAATATTGCATGTACATATGTGTACTAAATAAGAGAAAGAAAATTTTGAATCCAAAATTCTCTAGTTATTAAAATTTTTATTGAGTTATGCAATACATTGGAACATTGCCATTTTGGGTTGTATAAAACACAATATAATAAATTTATAAAGTAAGTGATAAATAAACAGGCATTTTCGACCTTCGCGAAAAATATATTTACTTTAACCCTTAGCCACCTAACGCCGGTCACAGTGACTCTACCGTTTTTTTATTTTTTAAATATTCCCGTTATTATGCAAGCTGCGCAGTTGTCCGTCTATGTACTTTTTCTTTTCTCTCTGCAATCAGGCAGTCAACACGTGTACCAATTCAAAAACTAGAGGTAAAACATTTTTGCTTGCGGTCGTTGTGACCGACGTTAGGTGTTTATGGCGCTATTCGCAGTGTACTGAAAATGGATCAAGTACCCAGTACATCGCTGGCCGACAACGTAGAAAAATTTGAAAAACGTAAAACCTGTTCACTATGTGATCCCAAAAAGAAACGCAAAACATTCCACATGTGTTTTGAATGCAAAAATCCAATTTGTATTGAATGTTCCCAAAAAATGTGTATACCATGCCGCCAAAAATTGTGATTGTTGGCAGGTTGCAATTTTATTTTAATTGCGATTTAATCGCGCCAAAAACAATTTATTATTGAAGTCCATGTTTTTAAGTTATAAAAAAAAGAAAAAAATTTTAAGTTCGAATATTTTTTCCTAATTAGATCTCATTTTATAAAAGTATCTACGTTTTCTTACAAAATTCGTATAACAATGAATAAAAAATGTTATTGAAGTATGAAACTTCTTTTAAGTTAATTTTTTGTTAATATTAATTAAATAAAAGGTACAAAAGAGTTATGTGCGGTTTTTGCGTGTTTTATTATTATATTTATACTTTAAACACTAAAATTAAGTAAGGGGTTACCTTGACCGACGTTAGGTGGAAGAGTGTCTAAAAAAGACGCTAGGTGGCTAAGGGTTAAATTAGCTATGTATGTTATAGGATATAAAAGTTTTTGTAACTACATACGTATACATGTTACATTGCTCTCGAATGGACTAATATAACCTAATATGTTGTGTTTTCGTTAGGCACTTGCAAATGTTTTCCCAAATGGCTTTGGAAGCTGCTTGACTGTTCTAGAATTAAACAGCAAAAAAAAGAACAAAAGTTAAATTAAAGAAATTCAATTCAAATAATTGAGGTAAGTTAAAAATGTACATACATACATACATACATAAAAAACAGTAAAAATTAGCATCTATTAACAATAGCGGGAAATAAAGTACCGCGAAGACCGTAGGCAGTTGAAGCTTAAAAACTCGAAGGATGATTTCAAAGAAGTTTGATGCAAATTGGAATAGGGTATGAAATCGGCATCTGGGGTTTTGAAATACATACAGTATTGGCCTATACAATAGCACCCCCATTTTAAATTGATATTGTTTGTCTTTCATGTTTATTTATTTTTTTAGGAACTTCGAATTAAAATATAGTTTTACTCCGACTCCGAACGGCGATTGTATTTTTATGAGAAGCTGCTTTTTATGGCAGAAATACATTCGGAGGTTTGCCATTGCCTGCCGAGGGACGACCGCTATTAGAAAAAACTTTTTCGTTTTATTTTATTTTTTTTTTTATGTTGGCCGGAAACTAGGCTTGAACCCACGCCCTGCGGAATGGTAGCGCCACTGCTACCCACTACACCACAGTGAATAATAGTCAAGGAGCTGAGAGAGATGCTCGTATAAAGTGCTCGACGATGATTTAAAATGGAACTTAAGAAGGTAGTTTCTATTTCCCGGGCAACAATCAATAATACAATAATAATATAATGGCGCTTACACATATGTTATTGTTTGGCCGACCTTCTCCTCCGATTTGTGGCGTGCGCCTTGATGTTGTAACACAAAGAGGAGGGACCTGCAGTTTAACGCCGAATCCGAACGGCGATTGTATTTCTATGAGAAGTTGTTTTTTATGGCAGAAATACTCTCGGAGATTTGTCATTGCCTACCGATGCGCGACCGCTGTTAAGAAAAAACATTTTTTATATATTTTTTGCGATATTGCTTTGACCAGGGCTTGAACCCAGGCCCTGAGGAGTGGTAGAGCGCACTGCTAACCCCTACACAATAGCGGCTGCCAGCGGCAACAACAAATAGTTTTTGCCGTTTTGAAAGTGTAAAATCGCGAAATGAGGTCCCGATCGGCATGCGACAATGTAGGTCCTATATACCTTGAGTAACGAAGTTATAGTGTTTTCAAAAACAAAAATAGGGTGTTTGAGCTTTATCTATGCAATATGTAGTAGACAACTGCATAGCAAAGCGAATTTCCGTCACCCCCGGTAAAATTTGGTTTTAAGATAAACCGCTCTCAGCATTGCGCTATCTGAAGTGCGTTATTTGTTGTTGACGACAGTGAACGTGTACACGTAAACATGAGCTGTCATCAACAAATAACGTATTTTGCCCAGATGGCATAATGCTGAGAGCGGTGAACGTGTACACGTACACGTGAATATTTCCACGACAGCCGGTTCTACGTACCGGAACGACTCGTGTTTTACCCGACTAAGAGCTGTTGTTTCGGCGATCTAACCCCAGTCAAGTGCAATGCTTGCAACGGGTGGAGTCACCTCAGAGTCTGCTCAGGACTACGGACACATCGGCAGTGGACCACGTCGTTTGTGACCCCCTGCTGCTCAAACAGAGCAGCCTTCACGGCTAACCCCAGTCCACCTGAGCAGCTCAACACAAACACCACAGCAAAACAACACAATAGACCACACCACAACCACGACAGACTACACAACAGATACAACAGATACAACCACACCACCACCCACACGCCGCCGCAAACAACTTCTGGTTCCTCCTACAATCTGCACGGTGTGTCAGACCAGGATATTCCGTAACGTCATCAGTGCCTTGGCTGGTGCCACTTTAGGACATGTTCAGGGCTGTGCAACACGCGAGATTGGACGAGGAACTTCGAGGGCCCGTGTTGCGCTACACGGTCGCAAACCCCAATTGCAACGCCACCCACTACCACCACAGGGCGGCAACCTCTACAGCAGCGCACACAGCCAATGGCGGCAAGGCAACACACATCCCTCACACCCCGCATAACAACACGTCTCCCGGACCACAGCAAGACCAGGCTCGAGGAGATAGCAGTCCTCGTGGGAGGGCATGGTATATTGAAAGCTGCGGTCCAAGAGACGAAGTTGCACAGCAATTCAAAATTGTTGAATTACGCCGGATACAACGTGCACCTTCGAGATCGCGAGCGAGATAATGGTGGTGGATTAGCGTTCATCACGCACCACAACGTGCAGTATCGTCTTATTGAAGCAGACATCGACAGCAGGGATACCACCCTAGAATGTATCAGGGCATTGCTATCCGGTCAGGCCCCTGTCACTAGCTGCCCCGCAGGATATCACCCTGGCATAGGTGCACTGCTCAGAGGTGAAAACCGTATGGAAGTTGGTAACTTTAATGCGCGCCACGATCTTTGGAATTCAAGCCTGTCAAACGATCGTAGGGAAACAGACTTGGCTGAGCAGATAGACGATTCGAAATTCTGCTGCTGCAGCTCGCCGGACATAACAATGGTCAGCACTGATCTGATAAACAGCGTATCATGGCGACCTATGCTGACATTGCCATCAGACCATCTGCGCATAGTCATCTCGATCGATAAACCAACCGACTTTGCTTCCGCGGAACACCGGACCTATATAAACTTTTCTAAAGCAGATTGGAAAGGCTTCGCCGAATTTAGTGAGAGCACCTTCGCTGCGCTCCCCACACCAACCGACTTCCACCTTGGTGAACGTAAGTTCCACAGGGTTGTCACTGCTACTGTAGCTCGCTTCGTACCAGCAGGATGCATTACGGACCCCCGTCCAATCTTCGCTGCTGTTCTAGCCGATGAGGATGATAACCTTCGTCAGGCCGATCCCGGAAATCCCCGTATCAGGAATCTCAACGCGGAGACTCGGTAGGTTGTGAACGTACATAAGCGGAAAGTGGGAAGAGCATCTGAAGACTTGTAACTTCGCCTCTGGTGTGAGTAAGCTTTGATCAACAGTGAGGTCACTGTCCAATCCGACGAACCACGACGACAGGGTTGAAATATCTTTCGGCGACCATGCTTCGTCGGACCCGAAGCGATGCACGAGCTATTTTAGCCTGCAATTCATACTGCATCCTCCGGCCTACAAAGCCAAGCGTCGAGTGACCGGAAGGCTGCACAAACTGCCAACAACCTGTGCAACTCTTGCTTTCACTAGCGGTGAAGTTCAGGAAGGCGAAAGCCTCCAAAGCCATGGGGCCCTACGGAATTTGCATGTTGATGCTGAAAAATTTGGGTCCTACGGGAGTAGCGTACCTAACGGAGGTCCTCAATCTGTCAATGGCCGCTCTCATCATCCCAGACATCTGGAAGATGGTGGTGGTCCCACCTCTGAAACCGGGGAAAACAGCCAACAAAGGAGAGTCTTATCGTCCTATAACACTCCTTTCCCCGGTAGCGAAGATACTAGGGGCCTTCCTACTCCCGTATTTCATGAACCATCTGACCCTAGCGAAGTATAAGCATGGTTTCCTTAAAGTGCACAGTACAACAACAGCACTTAACGCCATAAACACGCAGATAACGCGTGGCCTAAACCGCAACCGTCTCTGTGAGAGAACTATTCTAGTAGCGTTGAACCTGTCAAAGGCGTTTGACACCGGCAGCCACTCCACGCTGCTAGAAGGCATCCTCCTC